CTGCAGCACACCCCGGGCCGGGCCGCTGGCGGGAGAGGAGACCGAGCCTAGCTCGTTGCAGACGGATCCACTGCCCCGCCAGGGTTCTGCCCCGGGAAGAGAGCGAGTCTAGAGGACAAGACAGGTGTCCTCTACGGAAAGACCAGGCTGAGGTTTCTCCCGCCCCACTGGGGTGTCTGATGTCGCCTGTATCCGGCAGGCAGAGGTCGGGACCAGGTCTCCCCACCCCCACCCGCTCCGCCCAGACTGGGGCCTCTCAGGGGGCCCAAGTGTGCCCAACACCGTGCGGTTCTGCCTTTTGGCCACCAGAGGGCGGCAGAGGGAGGGGCCCTCCCACCTAGATGCCATCAGAGGAAAGGAGGAGGCCACCTTTCCTCCCTCCCTTCCCGGGTGCTGGGTGTCCTTTCCACAGAGGAAACGCCTGCCTGCCCTCCTCCCACAAGGCTCCTCTGTTCTGCACCTGGAAAGAGAGACAGAGGGGACCCTGGCGCGGAGCCAGGCCCTCATCTCCCCCTGCCAGAACCTGCTCTGAAGCTGGGTCCTCACGGCTCTGCCAGAGGCTGGGACTGGGCATCCTGCCCCCTGGGCTGCTTCTCAGCTTCTGACCCGGATCTGCTCTGGTTCCTGGGTCCCCTCCCCTGGCCCGGGTGCCCACCCCCCACCTGTGACCTGTATATAGTGGTTTGGACAGGGGTTAGACTTGCAGCCCCCCCACAAGTCACAGCTCACCTTCGAGCCTCTGCTTCTTCATCTGCAAAAGGAGGTTGTGGTGAGATGACTCAGGGTCAGAAGCCAGGAAGGGGGGCTATGATCTGTAGCATCACTGCCCTGGGTCCCGTGGGGAGTGAGCTTGCACAATCTCTTCCCGGCCGGAGGCCTGGGCTCCTGGCTCTGAAAACCTAGCCCAGACTATTCCCAGCCACAGGCCTTCCTCAGAGGCCCACTCCACTGTCTCCCTGAGTCCCCTTCAATCCAGTTTTGGGACTTTCCATCCACCTTGTAGGGCTTCCCACGGGTGAATTCCAGGCAGAACGTCTAATTCTGGTGCCGGCTCCCCGACCTCTGTCTCTGTCTCAACAAATGGAGGACCTCTCCTCCCGTGCCCACCCCAGGCCACTGGCCTGAGCCGGGGTGAAGCGGTTAGCTCTGGGGACTTGACAACTCCAGATGTCACCACCCACCCCTTCACCTCTCTCCACTGGGACCACCCAGGCCACCACATCCTCCCAGTCACCTTGACCATCAGCCTCATGTCGGAACTTGTCAGTGGCCCCTACAAAATAAGACCAGCAGGCTGCCCGAGGTGTCATTTCTTGGAGGGCTGTGATGGCTGGGGCTCTATGCTGCTGTCTGGGAACACTTCTCCCACTTTTGAGCTGGGCAAGCTGTGTAAGCTCCCTGTACCTCAGCTTCCTCCTCCGTGAAAAGGAGACACCACCTCCGGGCAGGACTGTATTCAGTCGATGTGCATGTCTCAGTCATGCACTGTGTGCCAGAGAATGGGGTACAGAAGGGGGTGAGGAAGAATGCTTCCCTGGGCTAGGGCCCTGGGCAGGTAAATGGCAAGTCTTTCGTCCAACAGGACAGTGATGGGGAGGTTCTGGAGCCTGTGCAGGACCAGTTGGGGAGAGGACTGGATTCGCAGGCCCTGGGCTGAGTCCTGGGGGAAAAAATCACACCATTTCCCAGGTCTGTGGCACACCCAGCTCCGCCCCGAGCCCTCGCTGACTGTGCAACGTGTGTGTCTGAGCCCCTGCCCTCGAAGGCGTATTAAATAAGCCATTAGCTAGCGCGTAACGGGGCTCGTTAAGTACCAAGCCTGTTCTGAGCACTTTGTGCTTACAAACTCGTTTAGTCCTCCTCGGAGCCCTTTGAGGAGGCTTATGTGACTCCCATTTTACAGGTGAGGAAACTGAGGCACGTGAGATGAAGTAACTCGCTCAGAGGCTAGTGTGGTGGAGCAGGGACTTGAACCCAGACAGGCTGGTGGTGATGCTCATGCCCTTGACCATCACGTGAACATCTGAACTGCCTCACCCTGCCTTCGAGGAGCCCAGGCTGCCTGGGAAGCCAAGGTCAACTAAACAGAAATAATCAAATACATCCCTGGGGTCCGAAGATGGGTTCGGCTCTGCCACTTCTCTTGGCCACCTCACAGGGGTGCTGGGAGAATTCCAGTGTACGCAGGCAAAGCTCTCAGCACCCAGTGGGAGCCTGCAAACTGGGGGACCCCAGCAGGGCGGGGGAAGGGGGCGTGTACCTTGCTGATGTCCGGGGACTTGGCGCGACCGCCCTCAGCATCACTCAAGGCCTTGGTGATGGCGAACTGGATGGCCAGGCCAGTCATGGTGCCCGTGGACAGCGGCCGGATGCGGCGCACGGCCTGAAGCAGCGCGGCCTTGGACAGGTGGGCCCGCAGCGGGAACTCCTGCTTCACGGAGCTGGCGTAGTTGACCACGCCCACTCGGGTGGCATTGGGCCCCACATTTAGCGACTCGATGACCTGGGACAGGAACACCTTCACCTTCTCAAACTCCACGGGCCTTACGCTGCGCGAGCTATCGACAACAAACACCAGGTCCGTGGGCCGGGTCCGGCAGAGGTGCCCTGGGAGGAGGAGGAGGGAGGTGGCAAAGAGCAAGGGGCAGAGATCAGAAGGCTGGACGAGACACTCAGGCAACGGGGCAGAGCATCAGGGGCTGCTTGGACACTGACCGGAGGCCTCGGGCAGCGTAGCCTGCCCTGGAGCCAGGCTGTCTTGAGCCTTGACCAGCATGTGGACACCCGGCCTCACAGCTCAGCTCCTGGGAAAGAGGCTCAGATTCTGGCCTTGGGTGACTCATTTCACCTCTCTGAGCCTCAGTTTCCTCATCTGTACAATGGGCTGATAATCCCTTCCTGCCAGGATCCTTTGAGGACGAGCAGAAGTGCACATCGGGTGCCAGCCCAGGGCTAGGCCTGCAGTGGGTGTTCAGGGAGCAGCAAAGGCAGGCTGCCCTTTAAAACCTGCTGCTCAGGTTTGTGCCCAGAGAGCCTCCATAAACAAGGAGCAGCTGTTTCTCTGAGCTGGGCCGCAGGGCGCCGAGGGTGGGCCCTCCGGGGTGGACGCGGCCTTGAGGCCCAACACAGCGCCTGTCAACATGGGCTCTTTCATCTGAACATCAGAGCAAATCACCAAGTGGGCCCAGTTTCCCTCCCTGGCGCGGCCTGCTGGCTGGTGTCCAAGGGCAGGGGAAGGGGCAGAAATGTCTAGTAGCCGCCACGGCGGCCTGACCAGGTGGGTCCCCAGGGCACCCGGCACCCCCCCCCAAGGAGAGATGTCTGTCCAGACTCCCAGGGAGGCAGCTCTGGGAGCTTCTGTTTCCTCTGCCGCGGGGAGAACAGCTACCGCTTGATGAGGTCACTGGCCTGGGCCTGCAGCCAGCGGGGCTCAGGGCAAAGGCTGTTCCCTCTCCACCCACAAGGAGTCCAGACTGAGCCCAGCTTCTCCCAAATACGGGAATGGGAGCGTGCTCTCAGCGGCCCCAGGTCCCAGCTCCCAGCCCCAGTCCCCTACCCAGGCATCAGAGTTCCCCCAGGGGCCTTAGAAATGACCTTGCAGCCGCTCCCTGGTCCCCTCTAGCTAATGGCACAATGGGTAAACTGAGGCAGGGAGAAAGAGGGGAAATGGCCACAGCATAGAGCAATGATCAAGACCCAGGAGGCTCTGGGGCTCTCTCACTGGGTGGTCTTAGGTCCTCCCCTGTGCAGCCTCAGCTTCCCCATCTGTAAGCGAAGAGTTGGGTATTCCAGAATTCAGGGGCCACAGCTGAAACTCTGGAAAGGGTACAGCATGCATGGACCCCAATCCAGGATGCGCTGAAAGGGCTGGTGACCAGAAATGGAGCCCCCCGACCCCCAGAGGTACACACCTCACAGAGCCATACATTCAGCCCTGGGCACGGTGCGGCCCCAGGCATCAGCGCTCTCTGCGTAGCTTCTGCCCTCAGGGACCCAAGAGACAGCAGTCCCTGCAGCGTGAATGGGCCCTGCAGGCAGCCCGGGGCCTGAGAAACCCCAGGAAACACTAAGGCTCCAGGGAGAAGCCCACTCATGGCCCGGACAGGACAGACTGAGGGTCACTTCAGCCCTGGCCCTTGTGCGCGTCACCATCTCTGTCTGCTCCCGCGCCGACCACCCTGCCTCCCGCCCTCTCCTCTCTTGGATCCATTTGCTCTCTGCCCATCTCAGTGCCCAGTCCCCAGGCTGTTGGTCAGCGGCCAGTCGTCCAATGTCCCCCACCTCACATAGGCCCCCTCACCTCTGGGTTGGGGGGCGAGGCCATGTGTGCGTGGGGCCAGGTGCAGCAGCAGCAGAAGGCAGGGCACGAGGACGGCACCAGGGATGACCCTCATGGTCCTGGCAGCGCGGGCAGCAGCCAGCACAGCTGTGGGGGCCAGGAGGCTCCGGGTCTTATCAACCTTGCCGCCCAGCCTCCCAGCCAGGAGGCCCTGCCCTGCCCCTTGCCTCCTGGGGGGGTGGGGCCAGGCTAAAAGGGGCTGTGTGTGCGGTGTGTTTCCCTCCCTCCAGAGAGGGCAGGGAGGAAGCCGGGAAAGGGCTGGAGAGGCCCCCGTAACCACAAGGCCTCCTTTGCCTCCAGAAGCAACCAGAGCTGCAGCTGCAGCTCAGGAAATCTCAGGTGGGCGGAGGGCATTCCTCCCGCGGCTGGAGCCTGCACGGACCTGCGGCTGCGACTCCAAGGCCGGGGAGACCTGAGTCCTTGGCCTCACACCCCAGCCCTGCCCTGCGGCCTATCCCACACCCCGATTCTTCTCTCACCTGCAATTTCAACCCCAATTTTCTCATTAAACACACCCCCCTTCTCCGGCCTCAGCTACCCGCTGCCTCTCCACGTGAGGCCTGCTCTCCAGCTGCACCTGGGTTCTCCGAGCTCTGGTCCAAGGCTCTGCACTTGCAGGGCAATCTGCCCAGATGGTCCTTCCTCCCACCCACCCTGCCAAACAGACTCTTCCAAGATCATAACTGGAGTCACGTGTACATGAGTGCTCGGTAGGTGCCAGGCAGCAAAGATGGCCGAGGGCACAGACTTGGAGGCAGATGAGCCGGATTTGCGATAAGCTACCTGTGTGACCCTGGGCAAGTTGCTTCACCTCTCCGTGCCTCCAATTCCTCACCTGGAAACGGGATGCGAACAGTGCCTACCTCCTAGAGTTGATTAGAGGAGCAGAGTTACACGGACGATCTCATTTCATTCTCTTGACAATCCTGTGAGGCAGCTACTATTAATACCCTCATTTCCCAGGTGAGGGACTGAAGAACAGAGAGGTGGAGCAACTTGTCTCAAGTCACACAGCTGAGAAGTATCACTGCCGGGAAGTGCCCGGCCGGTGTTCTCAGCTGCCTGCTTTCTCAGGTGTAATGTGGTGGAGGTGCCTTCTCCAGGCCCACCTCCTCCCCGCTCCCCTGCGTTCGGCACCCTCCCTGGGCTTCTGTACATTGTCTGTCTCATCCATGAGTAGGTAAGAGTGTGGTCGATTCATTTCTGCATCCAGGCCCAGCCCAGGGTCTGCATGGAGGAGGCAAAAATAAAGGTTTGTAAATAAAGAACATAACCCTGGCCGGTGTGGCTCAGTCGGTTGGTCGTCCCGTGCCCTGAGAGGTCGCCCATTGATTCTCAGTCAGGACACATGCCTGGGTTGCAGGTTCAATCCCTAGTTAGGATGCATGCAGAAGCAGCCAATCAATGTTTCATTCTCACATCAATGATTCTCTCTCCCTCTCCCTTTCTCTCTCTCTCTAAAAATCAATAAAAATTTTTAAAAATAAAGGAACATAATCAGGAATGGTCCCTACCATTGCATCTAGGGCCAGTAGTCGATGGGGTAAAGTGAAAAGAGCATGGGCTTGGCCCCCTGCGAGACCCAGCTTCAAATCCATCTCTGCTGTTGACCAGCTGTGTGCCCTGGAGCTGCTGACTTAACCTCTCTGAGCCTTGGCTTCTTATGATGCAGTGGGAATGGCAGTACTTGGCCTGCCCGCCTCCCGGGACCACGGAAGGAGGCAAGGAGAGGACAGAAGTGGAGATGGGGGCCAAAGAAGTATTATCTTCCCAGGGGGTAGAATCATTAACACTTAAGACCTGTGCACTTCACTCTATGTAAGTTGTACCTTAATAAAAGGAAATGTACAAATATTATCCTTAAAATGATTGCCGGGCACAGCTGACCCAGCCGACATTCTCACAACCTTCATCAATAATGGTGCAGTCGCTCACGCTGTCACTGTACTTCTTTGTTCTCCCAGCAAACCTTCGATGCCAGCAGATCCAAGTATATTAGCTCATTTGTCAGATGAGGAAACTGAGGCCCAGAGAAGTCCATGACTTGCCTAAGCCACTCAGCCAGTTAGAGGCAGAATCAAGCCTGGAGCTAGGTCTCAGTCCCCTTTGCCCCAGTTTAAGAGAACGAGGAAGTTAAAAGCATTTCCATGTAAGTTCATTTATTCATATAATTCTTAGCCCTCCCCCATTTCTAAAACGGGGTGCTGCTGGTTTCTTTCCCTCTGCAACTTCTAAGCCTAATTCTCTTCTCCAGAGACAGGGCAGGCATGATGGCCGTGAACTTGTCACTTCCCCCAATGGTGTTCTGAATGTGTTACTGCCCCCGACCCCGATGTGTCAGCTCCCCCGAAGCAGGGGCCTGGCCTGTCTCGCTCACCACTGAATCTCCAGGACCCAGCATGGTGCCTGGAGCAGGGTGCCTGGTGTGCAAATGAAGAAATGCACTAAAAGAAAGAACTGCCCGACTGGTGTGGCTTAGTGGTTGCGCCTCAACCTATGAACCAGCAGACCAGGGTTCGATTCCCAGTCAGGGCACATGCCCGGTTGTGGGCTCTATACCCATCAGGGGATGTGCAGGAGGCAGCGATCAATGATTCTGTCATCATTGATGTTTCTATCTCTCTCTCCCTTTCCCTTCCTCTCTGAAATCAATAAAAATATATTTTTTTAAAAAAGGAAAAAACTAATGATGAAGGGTCAGACTGGAGTGAGCAAAGGGGACCGGTGGTGACAGAGGCAGAGCGCTCCCCCCACGGCCCGGGAACAGTGGACGAGGAGAACGTGAGCTGGGGCCCCTCGCCCAGAGCCCCCTCCCCCCGTGGACGGGCTGTGTCCAGGGCTCCGGTGCAGAGCTGTTGGCCGGGGCGGCAGCTGGGCCCATGAAACAGCCCTTTCAGCTCGGGCTCTGAATGGCCGGTCTATGGACGCCTGGGAGGAACACAGGCGCCTTTTCTGGGTCACTTCTCCGCTCATTAGCGGAGCCACAGAAATGTGCGACAGGTAAGCTTTCAGGAACAGAGAGGGAGCTGCCCCGAAAGGGGGCAGCTTTACATTCCAGAGCCAGAGCCGGGCTGCGGGCAGGGGGACCTGGAAGTTCAGCATATACATTGAGGAAAGAGAATAAATATTTGTCTTTGAAAAATGTGAAACATGTCTCCCCAGGAGTCAAAACTGGGAACAGTGTGTCCGGTCTTGGCCAGAGGAAAAAATGCGTGGAGGGGCCGTCCTCCAGGCTGCTCCCCAGGCAGGACTCTTGCTGTCTCCTCTCCCTGTTTTCACACACCTCACACCTCAGGTTGCCAGAAACTTAAAGCCTTTAGTGTTTTATCCCAGAGAGAGAGAGAGCATTTGTGATCAAGTGAGGCGCCCCTCGGCCGTGTGGCTCAGTGGAAAGCGCACCGGACTCCCGCTCCGCCCCCAAAGCTCCGTTTCTCTCCAAAAAAGCGAACCTGGTCACCTTGAGCTCCCAAGACAAGAGATGCAGCCCTGTCTGGGGCAGCATGCCCCTTCCCGCCCGCCCCCCACCGTTGTCACAGTGTGGCTGCATCCACATAAACCTTGACCGGCTCCTTTGCCCCAGTTTAAGAGAACGATTTATTTCCTCTTTCTCTCGAAATCCAAACGCACTTGTTGGTTGAAAAAATGTCTCCTGCTCCTAAGAAGTAACAGCCATGACATCACTGGTTTGATATAGTTTATATGTTTGTTCTGATATGTATGCCCTTAAATACATTAGACACAAGTTCGATGTAGCCTTTTCATCCACTTAGTGCCAAAAATTACCTTGCGTTCTGCCAGTGGCACGCAGGCCAGACTCAGAGGCATCCTGTGAAGCGAAACCACTTTGGGACCAAACAGAGCTGGGTTTGATTCTGTCACCTGCCAGTGGCGTTGACTGCAGGTGACTCCCTTCACATTTCTGCTTTTGGGTGTCCCGTCTGTAAGTTGGGGTCTCTATGGCAGTGGCACCGGTGGTTGAGAAGGAAATGTGGTGAATGCTGCGTCAGTGTTGTTTTCACCGTGTCTTCTGTCGTAGTCAGGATAGAACAGGTTAAGCTGCAGTAACAAACAAGCCCTCGATCACAATGGCTTTAACACAAGGGCCTGTTTCTGTCTCATAACACGGGTGGATAGTGGACAGTGACCTCTCTGCACAGGCTCTCACGGCGGCCTCTAACTTTCTGTCCCATCGTGTCCAAGTCCTTCATCTCCAGCCACGTGGATGAGAGAGGGACAGCACGGGTCTCTCTTACTGCCTCCGACATGGAGTGCACAGCACCTGACTGCCTAGCAGTCCTGGGGTGGGACGTGGGTATTTAGTGAGCAGGGACCCCTCCCCGGTGAAGAAAGCTGCTGTTGGCACTATATTCCCTCTCCATGAAAATTCAAACCTAGCTGGCATTTAGGGCACTTCAAAAGCTCCTCTCCGGCCATGCCAGCCTCTCTCCCTCCCCTCCCCCATCGCCCTCTGTTCTCTGCCACACAATGAGTCACACTGTCCTTAGTTTTAGCACATTTTTTTTGGCCTTAATGGCAGCACATTTTTTTTCAGATTTGACTTACTGGGGTTAAGGACTCTCACCCCAGGGGCCCTGAGACTCTGCCTTTTGCAGCAGCCATTTTCAGAAGTTGTGCCCAGTGACTCATCTTGTTTGGGGGAAACATAAAACCTTGAATCTCAGGCTCTGAAGGAGACTCAGACATCCTGCACCCATCTTGCTCATTCTGGAGAGGTGGTTAAAAACACAGAGTCCACCCGTGCTGGATGGCTTCTTGTGGCCAGAGGGTCAGCCCATAGCCGTGGGGGCAGGTGTCAGAGGTTCCCGCTGTCAATCAATCGTGTAGACTCTGTAGAGGGAGGGCTTGGGCTTAGCACTGGGAACTGTAGCAGGCCTAGGCCCAGTTGGTCCCCCTCCCCATGGCCCCTCAGCCCACCTCTGTGTTCACCTACAGCTGCAGCAGGCAGCTCCCATCACCCTGACAGTGAGCAAGGCAGCCTGGGCATTCCACACCCGGAGGGCAGCCCTCACCCAGCGGGGGATGGGCACTGTGAAC